TGCTCTCTAGCTCCATCTTCTAAAGATGTTCCTGTTAATCTTTAATTCCATTTGTGTAGTTTTATTATCCTTTTGTTCCAGCCCTGTTCATCCTCTGAAAGTACTAAGTTTTAGGTATATTTGATTTCTTTAGCAGTACAGGTGATTCTTGAATAGCACAGGAGTTAAAAGCACCAACCTGATCACTAGCAGCCTCCTCCTCTCCCCCCACACACATACACAATTGTCTATCATTTACGGCTAAGTGGTAGATGTGTTATTCAAGGGTTGCCTGTATAGAATCCCAAATAATTATTGCAAGATGGTATTTACTATAGCTTTTTTAAAGAAAACTGCTTCGACTTATTATAGGGTTTGACTACAAGACTTGCAATGTGTTAGTGGCCTTGGAGCAACAATCACCAGATATTGCTCAAGGTGTTCATCTTGACCGGAATGAGGAAGACATTGGTGCAGGAGACCAGGTATTGTGATAGGTGCTATCTGCATCTCTTTTAACATTGCATTTTGAGGCTTGGATTGATAACATTGGTGACTTTCCTTTGTTAGGGTTTGATGTTTGGTTATGCCACTGATGAAACAGAGGAATGCATGCCTTTAACTATCGTCTTAGCACACAAGCTCAATGCCAAACTGGCTGAACTACGCCGAAATGGCACTTTGCCTTGGTTACGCCCAGATTCTAAAACTCAAGTAAGTGATGATCATATAGTTAAATTATGTATCTGCATTGGCCCAGAATATTAGTGAAGTTACTTGATTAAAGCTAATTGAAAAAAGAAAAGACTAGCATTTGTCTTTTGTAACTTAGGGTAGAAAACCAAGAGTAAAACATGTTTAGTAGACTGATGTCTTGTGTTGCCTTCAAGGTGACTGTGCAGTATATGCAGGATCGAGGTGCTGTGATTCCCATCAGAGTCCACACAATCGTCATATCAGTTCAGCATGATGAAGAAGTTTGTCTTGATGAGATGAGGGATGCCCTAAAGGAGAAAGTCATCAAAGCAGTTGTACCTGCAAAATACCTTGATGAGGATACAATCTACCATCTACAGCCAAGTGGCAGATTTGTTATTGGTGGGCCTCAGGTAAGGCCTTACAAATGTCAATTCAGTATATTCTTTTGGATCTTCTGTGGTGGTTACTGGCAAGAATTTGGCCACTATCACGTTTTCTCATTTGGTTTGTTGTGTTTTTGTTTGTTTTGTTTTGTTTTGTTTTTTTGGAAGCCCTACCTGTGAATTTCTTCTGCTGAGTGATACATAATAGGCATTTAACAAACTTGATCTAGAATCACTAACTGGGAAGGATAAGATATAAAGTGACTTTAGATACTTGTAATTTCAGGGTGATGCTGGCTTGACTGGCCGGAAAATCATTGTGGATACTTATGGCGGCTGGGGAGCTCATGGAGGAGGTGCCTTTTCAGGAAAGGATTATACCAAGGTGGACCGTTCCGCTGCTTATGCTGCTCGTTGGGTGGCAAAATCCCTTGTTAAAGGTGGTCTATGCAGAAGGGTTCTTGTGCAGGTATGTATTCTTTAATAAAACTGGAGTGATTCAAAGGCATGTAAGTGGGAGGGCTCTTTAATAAAACTGGAGTGATTCAAAGGCATGTAAGTGGAGGACATTTAGTAATTATCTACATGTCTTTTTTTATACCAGTGTATGCAAGAGTGTGGATCTGTTGATAACAGACTCTTACGACATTTCAATCGTTTCAGGTCTCTTACGCTATTGGAGTTTCCCATCCATTGTCTATCTCCATTTTCCATTATGGCACCTCTCAGAAGAGTGAGAGAGAGCTATTAGAGATTGTGAAGAAGAATTTTGACCTCCGCCCTGGGGTCATTGTCAGGTAAAGATGGTAAAGCCTATTGCTAGTGAAAAATATTAAGGGTGTGGGGGTGTGAATATGTACGAGATATTTTCAGGTCTGAGGACATGAAGGAAGACTCCTTAAGTATGAGGGCATTTTTAATTTTCTAGAAATGTGTTGGTGTTATAAGTTGCCTTCAATAAAGGCTTAAATTGTTAAGAAAAATCCAAAAGTATAGTGCTCCATGGCTTGGACTTAGCCACCCTAAAGTCTTCCACATTTGATATTGGGCTTTGGGCTCATCTTAACCTAAGAATGTTTACTTAAAAGAAATTAGTACAGATAAATGCGATGTCGAAAACCATTAATAAAGAAAATAACCATGTAGGGTGTGGGCATGGGACTCTGGTGGTAAGTATTTCATGATCTTAAATGAGCTTTTAACACTTGCAATTTCTCAGCATAATGACAAGTTTTCGTATTTGTTGAGCCAGGGATCGAAAAACAAGAACTATAGTTACTAATTAAGGACTGTGCAAGGAGTTTGGACACCAGGGAAGTAACAAACACTTCTGCCACAAACTTTTTTCCTAGCATACTCCAGGGAACTGAACTCATTTGCCAGAAGTCTTGAAAATGAGTCTTGCTGATTGTTTTTGCTTAATTTTAATGATTGCTACATATTAAGTTACGGACTTATATATTCCAGGGATCTGGATCTGAAGAAGCCAATTTATCAGAGGACTGCAGCCTATGGCCACTTTGGTAGGGACAGCTTCCCATGGGAAGTGCCCAAAAAGCTTAAATATTGAAAGTGTTAGCCTTTTTTCCCCAGACTTGTTGGCGTAGGCTACAGAGAAGCCTTCATGCTCTGAGGGAAAGGGCCCTTCTTCCTAAATTTTCCTGTCCTCTTTTAGCTCCTGATCAATTGCAGTCACTCTAGTCAATGACATGAATTTTAGCTTGTGTGGGGGAGTGTAAGTTCCGCTTGCTATTCTGTCCCTAGGTTTTTTGTTCATTATAATGAATTTAGTGAGCATAGGTGATCCGTGTAACTGCCTAGAAACAAACCAACAACACTGTAGTAAATAATGCTTTGAAATTGAAACTTTGTGCCCTATCACCCAACCCCCTAAAATTCTAATTGCATTGACTTGCTCACCAAATGCTGAAAATGTCCTTGTAATGTGCACGTAAAGTACTTGTAGTTCCATTATAGCTTCTGTCTGGCAATGCCACAGCCCTGTCAGCATGAATTTGTAATGTCTCGAGCTCTATTATGGATGTGAAGCTTTCCCTTTACCCTCCCTATAACATGATCCATTTTTAATTATGTAGCTCTTTGTCAGGGAGTGTTCCCTATTCAGTCACTCTTGCATGTAACGCAAGTTCCAGTTGGAGCTCTAGCCTGACATTAAAAAAAAAAGGGGGGCAGTTACCATTAAACCATCTCCCTGGTGCTTATGCTCTTAATTGCCATCTCCTAAACAGCACCAAATCAAATCTCTCCACTTACTCAGCTGTCTTTTGGAGGACGTACGTAATAAGGTTTTTTAGTAAACCAATCCTATGCATGGTTTCAGCACTAGCCAAACGACCCAACTCCTAGCTCTAAAAAAACAGGCACTTGGCACCCTTGTGATGTCATACAGAGAAGTCATAGGGCAGTACCTGAGGGTCTGTAGGTTGCACACTTTGGTACCAGATAACTTTTTTTTCTTTTCTTTATAAGAAAGACTAAGTACTCCACACTGCACAATAACTCCTCCCAGGGTTTTAACTTTGTTTTATTTTCAAAACCAGGTCCAATGAGCTTTCTGAACAGCTGGTGTAGCTACAGAGAAACCAGCTTTCTTCAGACAGCAGTGCTTTTGGCGGGGAGGAGGAAAATCCCTTCATACTTGAACATTTTCTAATTGCTTATTTATTGTATTCTGGGGTATGGCGTAAGTACAGAGAAGCCATCACCTCAGATGGCAGCTTTTAAAAGATTTTTTTTTTTTTCCTCAACACCATGATTCCTTTAATGTTTCCAGCATTCCCAGGTAGGCCAAGGTGTCCTACAGAAAAACCTTGGGTTAGACCTACAGGGGTTCTGGCTGGTGTTAACAAGGGAGGGCAGAGCTGGTGCAGCTGGCCATGGAGAAAGCTGACTTGGCTGGTGTGGTACAGAGAAGCCAGCTTGTTTACATGCTTATTCCATGACTGCTTGCTCTAAGCAGAAAGTGCCTTTCAGGATCTATTTTTGGAGGTTTATTACGTATGTCTGGTTCTCAATTCCAACAGTTTAATGAAGATCTAAATAAATGCTAGGTTCTACCTTAACTGTGTCCATTATTTTAAAGTGTTTTGGTATGAATATGATCTGAAAACATAATCTCGAACCCTGATTAATCGTAACTAATCAGTTGTTCTGGGCAATCATCTCAACCCTAACTACAGGCATTTATTTATAATAGGCTTGAAAATCTTACCCCTTAAGATTTGATTTTGGTTTCTCAAGTGTTGCCTTTTTCAGCCAATGGAGTAGTAGCCCATTTCATGTGTCTCCTTACTGCAATAGCCATAATTTAAATTGCCAGGGTTTCAAATTATCTGAGATAAAGGAGGTAAAAACCACTAATAGAATACAGGCTTCCCCCATTTTAAATTGAAAAAACTCAAAGGGGCGGGGGGGGGACGACACGACCAAAAACCTGCCTCATAGGATTCCTTCAGTTAGCCCAAATGGGTACTAATGTATGTCTTTTGTGAAAGTGAAGTGGCTTAATGCAAACATGGAAAGGGACATACCTGTATTTATGAAAGTGGTACTGTTAGTCAAACTTTATTTTTAGACAGTTTGCAGGGCGGGGGGACATCGACTGGTTGCCTTTCATGCCCTGGCACAGACAGAACCTGCAATCTAGGCATGTGCCCTGACCCAGAATCAAACCGGTGACCTTTTGCCTTGTGGGACCATGGTCAGGGCCAGTCTTGAAAATTTCAACCCACTACATTTCAGCTTGACTAATGTGAAAAAGTAGCATACCTTAAGTATTAATCCCCTTATAAATAAGTGTAAAAGGCTGCAATTACATGTTCACACATTACAATCAGAAAAGTTCTTAAACAGGAATCACCTTGCCATCTAAAGTGATAATAAATGAACTAAAATATAAAGTAACAGTGGAGAGACAAATTTCCAAAAGGTTGATCTGTATTTGTAGCAGTTTACAGAAAATTAATCCACATAGTTTTAACTATCTTTTCTTGAGCCTAGGAGCTAAAAACTACAGACAGGAGCCAGCTAGCATGCTGATGCTTTGATCTGCAGATGTGAGACCCAAGGAATGCTTGCTTTGTACCTGTTTCCCTGGAGGCTTAAGGATTTAGAAATGGAGGGGAGGCCAAGTTATATCTTGGTATCAATGGAGCTTTTCTAATTTGCTCAGGAACTTTGAGAACTTCGGCTTTCATGACACACAAAAGCTCTAGGATGTAAAGTTTGTAGATGTCAATCAGTGCATTATGGTCTAAGGTTAGGTTAAGTTCACTGAATAAGGTGATCTGAGGATGTCTGGATGCCTGTAACCTGGTGGGGCAGCACCAGAGAAGTAACTGCCTTGTGGTTAGGTTCAATATTTGCTAGGAAGATACCTAAGAAGTGTCCTCTATCATACACTGGGGGAAGTGGGGGAAGAGAATTTTAGAGATAGGAAGGTGGAGGAGCACTAACCCAGGGAGGATAGTAGGAGCAAAGGCATGAAACGGTGAAGGTGGTTACAAACAGGAATGTATGATCATGAGACGGTGAAGGTGATTACAATTAGGAATACGTGACAAAAGACCAAAATGCTGGGCACAGAATGAAAATACTAAAAAGTATTCCGGCCAAAAGGACATTGATACCTTACTCCCAAAACAGCTGCCCTTGCACAAAATCCAATTTACTCCCTTGAACAACTTAGACCAGTATTAAGATGACCATACATCCTCTTCATCCCATCCCAACATCTTCATTGGGAAAATGAGTCAGTGTTGGTATACTAACAATTTGGGAGTCTGCAGCATCCTTGTCTACATTAAAAGTGCTTATGCAAAAGTCCCCTCACAGTGAGGAGCTACTTTTCTTACCAAAGGGAAGAGGGTGATGGTGGTTAGGGAACCAAGTTTAGCTGAACTTAATGGAAAAGGATGTAATATAATGCTGAGGTATAACTGTCACTGAGAGATGTGCAAAAAGATTAAAATCAGTGTTTCCCCCACACCATTCTTACTAAGTGCTCAAGGTACACTGGCACAGCCGTTGCATACAATGCTTGTATGAATCAGAACTTACTGCCAGGCCCCACATGGCCTCAGTGGGGTACCCTTATTCAGGCCCCAACTGCATAACCACATTATAGCCCTGCTCTGGTCTCCCTAACTGGATTCTAATACAAAGGCTGAAAGGACACAGAGATGAAAATTTTAAGAAATAAGAGAATCGCTAGGTCTTGAAGTTATAAGAAATGCAAGGAAAAGATTTAAGGCCAATGACTCAAATGGCCAAAAGGTCAAGACACAGTTGTCATTCACTAATAAAGGAGTAGGTCTTGAGTTGGGGATGAAGGTAAGTTCTGCTCAGGACAGTTGGATAGCTCTGTGGGACATCCAGGGGGAAATAGGTATAGTCTAGGGCACAGGAAAGAAAGCTAAGCAGCATCACTAGAAATCATGGAATAGACCTAATCATGCCAAGTGTGTACAGTGGAAAAACTGCCTGGGAATGAGGTCACTGTCCAAGCAGGTAAGGTGGGGTGGGCCATAAGAGAAGCATGAAAATAGATGCAATCCTTTATCAAAGTTACTGGGATTGCCAATTTACTACTATACTAATCTCTGTTACAAAACTGAGTTTTAAGCCTATGCATTCTCACTTCCTAGCCTGGTGCCAGGCCTTTGAATTTTCACAGAACTGAGGAGCTTCCATGATCATCTTTGTATATACAGACCTACAAAGTGACCAGACATTCCCTAATACCTCACCAAGTTTGGTTAATACTTCACACTACCTTCTCACTAAATGATAGAATAATGCTAAAAAGCTTATTTTTTAGGAAAAGACTACCAATCATCTAAATTTCCTTATTGGTTTAATTCTGCTTTATAACTACTCTCATAATTGCTAGTGAAAAACTTACCAGCTGTATAGATAGAAAATTGCTCTGTGTGCATTTCGAACCTGATCACCATCCTAATCATACTTAAGAAAACAAGTTTTAAGCTATGTTACTCCAGAATTATTATGATTCTGAAAATTACAAGAGGCAGGGTGCAAAACCTTAAGTCAGACAGGAGGTTCAAGCCATCAATCCAACCCTTGCTAGGTTTATGTCTGAACAAATATTACTTGTCAACCTCAGTGCCTTCAATTGTAAAATAGTGACCATTAAGGACTAAATGTAATAACATAGTCACAGTGCTTCACACAGTACCTAGCACATAACAAGCACTTGAGAATAATTAGCTACTATTTTCATTACAGTATATCAAATATAAGGATTTTTTCAAATTTCCACTGCACAGGTAATGGTCCTGTAACTGGCTGCTCCCACATCTGTACCCAATGTCTGGCCCCTTTAGAACTCTGAGTGGGTATGGTCAGAATTCAGTTCAGGAGGATCAGAATTTGAAGAATCTGTGTTGGAAGGACTAGACTCTCCAACTGGCTCAAAGGGTCGCAAGTTTGCATAAGTCACCTCTTGGGCCAGTTGCTCCAGGGACGGGCGGCCTAATGCCAGATTTCGAAGTGAGATACAAGTCATCAGGAAGCTGAAAGAGAGGAAAAAGGCCATCCAGTCCAACCTCCTGTTTCAGCATAGACATTCCTACCAAAGCCCTTGGGGAACACTTGGTCCTACCTCCTCTCACTCAAGCATAAATAAGAATTGCCCTCCGCCCCAGGGACCCTCGAATCCCAGATGGAAGGGCACCCTACTTCTTGTACAGTCTGGTAGAGGATTCCAGGGTGAGGCAGGAATAACCCATGGGGAGGCTAGAGGTAAACTGAGGCAGAGCAAGACAGCAAGGACATCAGACACAGGTCACTTACTCTCCCGTTGAATCAGGAAGAGGAGAACAGAGGAAAAAGGCTATTTAGCCCTAGATTGCCCTTTCCTGGGAGAGTGTCACTACTTTTACCCTCACTAGAGAAAAGTTACCTGGCTTGCAAATATCTGGTGACACAATTATAAGTACTGCTGGTAAAACTTACCTGCGGCGAAAAATGTAGACCTTCCGCAGCAAGAAGCGGAAGAATCGCTCATGGAAAGGGGTGTTTCGCCGGCGTTCAATTTCCTGGAGTCTTTGCTGGCGTTTAAGAAAGGTCTGAACCAGAGGTGTTGGCTCAGGACCTCCTTTTACTTCTCCTTCCAGCAGAGGTTGCAGCTCTGGAGGTAGAGGCCCCGTTTCTGCTCAGATGTCAGCAAAAAGAGGAATCACTGAGAGAGAGATCATTCTCTCTTCTAGAAGTCCCCTTTCAACTAGAGGCTTCAAGTTCTTTTTTTAATGACTAGATCCTCATTCGCTACCCTAACTTCTCAGGGGCTACCTCAGCCCAAATCTTTATATACTCACCACTTCCATTCTCCACCTTCTCTTTCAATTCTTGCAGATATGCCAGGTCTTGCTCCAGTGTAAGCTCCGTAGTGTTGACATAGATGTACATGTAACACGAAGGACTGGGTGATATTGTGTACACCTTATGGTATTCACCAGCAGGCAACTGACAGAGGAGCAAAATGCATTATTTCAGTCATAAACTTTTCCTAGCCAGCCTATGGGCTCCTAACACTACCCACTCCCCCACCCCCCAGGCATCTTCTCACTGTGACTTGGGAGTCCAAAAGAGCTGACCTCTAGAATCCTGTATGAGACTATTCACAGCCAGGGGTCTTTGCTTTTTGAGGCCTCACTGCATTACTGGTATGGTCAAGTATTTTGAGTCTGTAATAAGTTAACTCCACTCATCTAAACTTTTCTGCTATTGTTAATTCCAGCAAAATACCTGCATTTTTTCTCCTTCCTGAAGAGTCTGGTTCTTCTGTTCTGCCACCAGCTCCACAGTAACCTCCCCCTGCAGCAGCTGGATGCTAGTGTTGCCCAGGTCTTCACTCACAAAATTCTCTAGGTGCAGCCCTGACAGGGGCAACAAAGTTCCCCAACTCACACCATGGCAGAGTGAACTCACTCCCAGCGAGAACAGAGACATCACAGTTTCACCACCTCCACCCATCAGATTTCATAAACATTCCTCTCACCAGGAGTAACCCCTCCCCTCTCCACCACATGCAATGTCCCTGACCAAGGAAGTGAGGAAGAAAGACAGCAAAGCCTCCCCAAGCTTTCTTCCATACCAGGGAAATCTGCAATGAAGACCACCTCCGTGTGGTTATCCAAGCTGCTCTTGATTTCCTGTAACTTGGCCCTCCAAGGGGAGAGATCCATCAAAAGTGGCTGCAGCCACGATGTACGCTGGAAGGGGGACCAGGCAGCCTGCACAATGTCCACACGAGGGTCAAAAATCCTTAGGAAAGAAAGCCATGTTTTAAGAAGGCCACAACCATCTACCCATTAGTATTTCCAGTTGTTTCTTTCATCACCATTTCCAATAGAGAGAACAGGGTTTCTAGACAGAAAAAATGGCCTAAGTCAGCATGTTATTACCAGTCCCGGGCAGACAGAGAGGGGAAAGAGATTCTGGAGCACTGGGAAGAATGAGGATTAGTGGCCATCTGAGAATTGTGTTAAGTTTCTAGCAGAACAAGTCATTACCTTTTCTTTGGGATGATGGTGCCCCCTGCTGGAAGCAATCAGCTATGCCCACAACTACGTCAACATGGATATGCAACAGAGGACAGCCTTTCAAGCAAGACAACACTGGGGAGCAGGGGCTATTCATCTTGGCAAAAGCAGCTGGACTTCATTTCCCCCCCTCCTCTGCATCCCTTGCCCACCTCTGCTGGAAGCGGTCATTGATGGAGACCCAAATATCAAAGTAGATCTGGGGCTCAGTAACATTGTACTTGGGAAGCAGGCGGCTCAGGCAAGTGGCATATTGCTTCAGCATGTCCGCGTGATCCTTCCATCGCCGGCTCTGTGTGAATACCTGTCCCAAACCCCCATGTTAGTCCCACCTCATTGTTATTGACCTACTGGATGAGTCATGCACCACCAATGGTACAAAGAGATCTGGCTGTTTAGATCAGAGGAAAAAAAAAACAACAAACTTGTCTCTAGGGAAGGGTTTTTCATTGCTTGGCTAATGGTGGTACTTACCTTTCTTAAATCAAATCTCAAGTCTAGGAAGTGAATGATATTGCCTTATTTCAACCCACATAAAAGAAGGTTCAACCTGGTTCCTCAGAAAGGGCAGTGACCCAAGTTTGTTTTAATTGTGTTGAGGCCCAAATCAGACCCCAAAACTCAAGGGAACTTTGAAGAACAGTAAATTATCAGCATCAGAAATCTCACCCCAGGATTAAGGTAGCCCAGCTCGCCAGTGCGGCCATCACGGTAGGTGATCTTCACGTGCTGGTGGGAACGGGAGTGCACCATCATGTCCCAGGAATAGCCATATAGCCCATTTGTCCAATTGTTATAGCCCTAAAAAACAGGGCAGAGGAAATCCGCTCAGTGGTTCTTATGCTAATCCCATCTTCTACCAAGAAAGGGCTATAGTACCAATCCCTTTTTCCCCTCTACTGCTGTTACCTCTGCCACTTTCCAAGCTAACCCCTGCCCTATACATACCTGGGTGAGGAAATGGGAATAGGGCAGGAAAAGCTGCTCCAGGAGGTAGAGCAGGGTGAAGGCAGCACCTAGCTGATGGCGCAGGCCTGGCTTCTGGCCGCCTTTGGCCCGGTTCCTCTTATACATGCAGGAAGCACTGGGCTGAGGGGCAGCCTTGAGGGGCAGCAGTTCTTGCAGCCTTTTGGGGCAGTTAGACACCAGCTTCCGAGGCCACTCAGGGGAGCAGAAGAGAGGGCTGCTGGCCAGCATGACATAGGGGAACATACCTAGAAAAGCAAGGAGAAAATAAGCATTTCAGGAGTTTGGTTTGGGGAAATGTAGGTAATTTCCTCAATACCTTTCCCTTAAGAAACCTCTCCCAAGTATCCCACTTATGACAGAAGTTCTTAACTAAAAGATACTTACTTTCACAGATTCCTTACTATACAATACCAGCTGAGCCCAGAAGCCCCAATCCTCTCTTCCCCATTTATTTCCATTCCACAGTGATTGCACCTGGCCCAGTTTAATTCCCATTCTCATCTCCCAGTCCCAAACAATGCCTTTGGCAAGTCACTCCCTGCACATGATGGTTTCCTATTTCCTACCAGATGATAGGTACTGACCAATGCTGAAAAGCTGAGAATTCATGCAGTGGAAGTAGGTCACAAAGAGGAGGCCAATGGATCTTGAAGCATCGAAGAAGAGCAGGAAACCAGCTGAGAGGTCAAGCAGCAGTCCACACCAGTGCACCACTAGCAGACTCGTCATCTCCTCGGACAGTATCAGTCTGTAGACGTCAGGGACAGGGTCAGGCACCAGCCCACTGAAGAACCCAGCTTTCACAGCACATTCATAGCAAATGTACACTGGCTACCTTGTTCTTGCTAAAGGATCCACCTAGCAGGTAGGTAGAACTGTGCACAAAGATAACCCATGGGTTTCCCAACCCCTTTACATTTCCACATTTTAGGTGTCCAATTGTATTCAACATACCCCATGTAATAAGCAAGGGCAAATCTCCTAGGGAAAATCTGATTGGGAAGTGTGTGTGTTGTGTGGGGGGCAGGTTCCTCATAGAGGTTATAAATGAGAAGAAACTTTAAAAGGTGAATACTTGACTAACATGACACCGAAGTGTCACAGGACATAGGAAATAACAGAGAAGAAGAAAAAAGAACAAAGTAAAATAGAAAAGAGAAACGAGAGGAAGAGAGAGATCAGAGAGGCAAACCTCTACTTTGTAAAAAGCTGGTAACACTGGTTCTGTCAGGGCAGGGACAATGCCTGTCCGCCTTCTCAGTTGATGGCTAAGGAATCCTAGTGAGAGGCTGGATGGCAACCCAAGGACACAGACACCACCCATGGCAACTGCTCAGGGCATCAAGTCACCTAGTTCTGGCTCTTTCCTTTTCAATTTTCTTTCCCTTCCTTCCCCCCATACCATAAGCTGCACAGGGGCAGCTAGGCCTAGATCTTTTGATGTCATCAATTCTGCATTCTGCTGAATAGAGAGATAAGTGGACAGAGGAAAGCATGTTGCAAACTGAGGCAACGTAGGAACTGCAGACATGACAGAGATAAGTCACCCACTCTGGACTTGTGCCTCAAGGAGGCTTCTGCCGACTGCCACTCACTTGAAGGGACTGAAGAGCCAGTGCCGGGACAGGTACTCCATGGAATAGCCCTCCACCCAGTCTGCATCCAGCTTTTTCACACCCGCAATGAAGTACACAATGAAAATCTGCAAACACAAAATGCAAAACAAATTATTAAAACAAAAAAAGAACCTTATTTTGTGCAGTCAAAAATAGAGTAAGTTCTCATCTCAGTTCAGGGTCCAAAGGAGATTAGTTCCATCCTTCTATTCACTCATCTCAGATATTCACTCGTCTCAGATATTCTCTCATCCAACAAGTACCTACTGACCTCCCACCAGAGCCAGGCACAGTATGAGGCACCAAGGAAAGTCATGAAGCATAGACATTATTCTCTCACAAGGATTCTAACCTGGCAGGGACAAAGCTCTATTCTTTCCATGACAAGATGAGAGAGCTCAGAGATTAGGGTATTGGAAACAACAGAAAAGCCAGCCTACCCTTCCAGCAAAAGGAAAAAAGGGGAAGATCCAGGGAGGCTGAGTAGAGCGCAGTCTGGCAGTGGGATGGCCACGCTGACAAAGGCTATCAAAGAACACCTCCCCCTCCTAAACTCTTGTACCTGGCCACGCAGCACAGCATAGTTCCAAAGGGGCACGTGGGCATTCCGCTTTCGGGCATTCAGCAGGCCATCCACAGACCTACACCAAGTAAGGTAAGGATTGAGGAGAGCTTCTGAGTCCAGCCATATTTCTACCTTCTTTTTTCAATGTAATAATCTATCTCAGGACAATTCCCGTATCTTGTCTGGCCCACTGGGCTATTTTGAGGCCCTTTAGAATATGAGCAATTTTTAGCGGTGATTATAACTCATAACTGAAATCTTACTAATGAGTCATAACAACAAGTTGTGTTTACGAAAAAAAAATTCAGTGTTTATCATTAGTGAGCAAATTAGTTTGTCCTAATAAAATCAATCAGGAAAAAAAATGACAATACTACAATATGACTGAATTTGAAAAAGAATGAATTTGAGGAGTGTTTAAAAAGCTTAAGGTGTACATAAATTCTACAGTACATTTTTTTAAAAATTTCAGTATCAAAACAAACTAATGTTTCATAGACCTGGATGCCAGTACCTAGTGCCACAGGGTACCTACTAACAGCCTACCTGGGGGGAGAACTGATAAACCCAGGCTCTAGGACTAGATGTATTCTGGGGAGGCAGAAACAAAGCGGGTTTTCAAGATAGTGAATGAGCTGAGAAGTTGGGAAAGAGGCAGCTTACACTGTGGTCAAGAGCACTGCAATCTGCAGTTAAGGAGAGCTTGATTCTCACTTGTGCCTCTTCCTGCTATGTGACCTTGGCAAACCTTTTACTTCTCTAAGCCTTATTGTCTTCATCTATAAAATTAGAACAGCACCATGGACTTCATGGTGTTAAAATGAGGAAAAATTAAAGTGTTAGATGGCATGTGGAAAGCCCTCAGTAAGTGATAGGTTTTTTTCAAATTGTGTAAAGGCCATAAAAATAAAACGTTTCAGAGGTATTCTGTCAAAACCACCTCTTAATTCTGGCCATTCTGAATGAGTTTTAACAGTTTACAACAGGATTATTTGTATGTGTGTATTAACAACGAAACTTAATGACTGATAAATCACTAACAAATTCAATGCTTAAGATTTTTTACCTATACATCCTCATTTTATTAAGATGTATTTGCTTTTCACTTAATATGGAAAGAATCCTTAAAGGTCAACTGCCCTGCCACCCTGTCTCCAGATCCCTTCTCTACTTCCCCTGAAAGATGGTCACCTAAGTGAGAGGTGGGGGAGGGTTACCTCCTCCCAGGACAGCACTGCTGAGCAGCCCTACTGGGCTCTCTCCTTCTGTCATGACTCTGCCTCACAGCAACTTCTACTCTTGGCTCTAACTCTGCCCCTCTGGGCTCACAGAAAGTCTGCTTCCTCTTCCACATGACCACCCTCGAAGTATCTGAAAACAGCTATGTCTGGCTTTAGTCTTCGTCTTCTCTCTAAGAGGATTACAGGAAGTGGAATAGATCAAGGCACCTGGGGAGATATGGAAAAAGTGAAGGGGTGGGAATGAAGCCATTTTGCTTTGTGACATCCCAAGTGTTCCAACCTGACTGACCCTTCTCCCTCCCAAATTCATCCAAATTAAAATGTGACCTTTGCCAAGCATGGTTGAAATTGTGCTTGCTGGGGCAAATTCTAGGACTTCAACGGGTCCCTATCTCTGGTAACCATCCTGACCCAGCCAACACCTCCCCTTTTTTCCCCAGACTCATACCAGTAGTGGTTTGCATCCATGAATGTCAGCTGAAAAGCCAATAAACCATACAGATAGGAGTGGTTGTTCCACGATGTCTTGTCCAGGAGAAACACATACCAGTATGGCAGCAGGAATAACACACAGCTTATCCGGTAGCACAGGCCCAGCATCATGCCCAGTGCCCCTGGGATTTGTGGGGGAGAAGATTAAGAGGTCAAAGGGTCATCACAGGCCCAGCTCCCCTAGGACAGGCTGTGAGTGAGATTAAGAAAAGTCCTCAGACATTTTATAATCAGGTACAACTAAGTGAAAATTAAGTGTTATTTTAGTATTTTTTAAAAAAGAGCTATAGGGTCATATCTCAGATGACACATAGGTCAACAGGGTGAAACTATGATCACAGCAGAAGTGAAATAAGGAACCCAAGACCTTGATCATTCACCAACATGCTTTGTATTTCTCTGTTTTAGGTAGGCCAATCAATATTCCCACAGTTTTCCTCACCTAGAAACATGATGGTATAGACAAGATACATCCAATCAAGTGGCAGTGGTTGCAGGGCATTCAGCAAGGGGAAGCGGCACACGTCTAGCCCATCCAGGTATCTTCGGTCCAGGGAGCTGAGCCCCCGCTCCTGGGGAATGTCCAGTGCCATCAACAGCCCTGAGAAGGCAGTTAGGGGCGGGGGGGGTGCCATCAGGCTTCATCAAAGGAACCAGCCGACTGAACCTAGCTCCAGGGTCAGAAGTCTTCCCTAATCCTGGCTCTTCCATTTATTCATTCATTAAACAAAAATTACTGACTGACTACTATATGCTAGGCACTATGCCAATTGTGTGATCCTAGCCAATTCCCCCATTTGTAAAAGGGCACTCATAATATTTTACAAAGTTACAGAGAGGATTAAATGAGAGAAGCATACAAAATGCTATAATGGCTGTTCAGGTTTTGATAGTTAATATTTATACAGGTCTGTGCTACAGAAAGTAGTCTAGGGTGGTGCTTCTCAACATTTTCCACTTCTTGGCATAACCAGAAACAGCAATGTTTGGCCAACACACTGGAGTAAACAGAAGAGGCTATTCAGGTCAGGAAGCCAGCCTTAGTTAAAGCAGAGTTTTGCAACCTCTGGACCATTCACATTTGGGGTGGTTAATTATTTACTGGGAGGGGCTATCCTGTGCATTATAGGTCAATTAGCAGAATCTTTGGCTCCTATGTAGATGGAAGTAGTCATCTGTCCCTCCCAACATACATATGACAAATAAAAATGTCTACCGACATTGCCAAATGTCCCCCAGGGAAGCAAAAATGCTCCCCGTTGAGAACCACTGAGGGATTAATAGTGCAGAATATCTGTAACCCATTCAAAAGGAAGCTCTGGATTAGGGAGTCACAGCCAAAATGTCCTCCCTGTCACCTCTGCCATTTCTCTGAAGTTTAGTCCTCTGCCTCTATATTTCCTCCTCAGATCAAAGTATTTCTGGCCTCCAAATCCTAATCAAAGGAGACAAAACTGGATTTGATCCTAAATTTCACAAATACTTCTTCCAGCATACTGATACCTTCAGCTGTGAGGAAAAAAAAAGGAGGTAAGTCCACCAATCAAGTAACCAAGAAACGGACAAGGGACGGGTGTCATTCTACTCCAACCACACTGGTCCCTCCCAGAAACTAGACTTACCAAAGAGAAAACGGAAGACAGCCAAGCTTGCAGGATCCGTTGGTCGATTCAGCAGGGTCACAAGGCTCCCCCAGCTGGATACATCTGTCCACTCAAAACCCACGAGTTTCCCCATGCAGCTGGCCTGACTGGACTTTAAGGTCTGTCCGGCCTTGCCTTTCTGTAGTTTATCTGCAACCAATAAATAGAAAAAGATGTGTTCGTGTATGGGGTGTTGGTGTTTTAAAATCGGCTCATTCCCAAATCACAGCCCGAACAGCCCAGGGTTTCTGTCTACCCGGGTTCTCCCACTCATCTCTACCAGAAACACCCCTGAGGTGCAGCCCCTGCTCCAAGATCCTCCAATGCCCCAGAACCTCTCTCAGACTACAGCCCCCTAACCGCTAATCGAAAGTCATTATCATTCCGAAACAGCAGACTGTAACCTCTTTCTACAAGCTCCTTCCCAAGAGAACCCCCTTCCTTCCCCAGGTCCTAAGGGACAGTCCTCCTGCCTCCGCCACTCTGAGACCAGCGTCTCCCCCCTCTTTCCGCCACAGGCTGGGGCTCTGAGCCTACCTGAGCTGGGAGGGCCCCGCACAGACCTGGCCGACACCGCCATGGTCCTGCGGTCCTGCAGAAGTCAGTTTTCCACAGCCACCGCCTCCGAGGTAGGGCGTAGCGAGTTGCAGATCTCCTAAGCCACGCCTCCCGGACACATCAGCTTGGAGCGCCCGGCCGGAAAGCGCCGGACTGTCGTGAAGTGCGGTAACCGGAGGCTCCTGGCTCCCCGCTTGGCGGCAGAGTGCGAAGCTAGGAGCCTTTTGGACAGAGCCGAAGGCGGCGAAGCAGGTCGATGCAGGCGTGACAGGCGTGGGAGGGCCTTGCTTCACCTCGTGAGACTGGAGGCGTGAGGAACCGCACTTCACGACAGTGAAGGCCTCCTAACCCTTCTCCACTCTTTCAACTCTAAGAAGACTCGGATTCCTGCAATTTCCCTGGTTCCTTCCTCGCCCCCGGTGGGCCTCTCCATAACGTGAGCAGCGCAGGCGCATAGTTAGACTCTTCCCCAGAGAGGTTGACCGCTGAGTTGAGGACGTATCTGGAAGGGCTGCCCAGCCCAGAGAAAGTGCCCAGCTTCCTTTATTTTACCTTCCAGTACATGCCAAGAACCAGAGGTTTGAAAGCAGTCGAGGAAACCAGAACAACGTAACTGGAGAAATGATGTAGAATGTGCGGTTCCTCTGTATGTTGCAACCCGTCAAGGCCGGGCAGATCCACTCTTGCCTCTGGGAGATGGAAGAAAATGCGTGTAGCCTTGGGGATACTTGTCATACTTGTATTCACGGGTGGGCGAGCCACGCACACTGCAAGCTGCGTGTGTAACTAGTGGTAAGCCCCTCCTTGTTTAATTACTAGAGAGAAACAAAGCTGGAAAACTGCCAGAACATTATGTAACATAATTCTGCGCATGTGAGCCCTCTCCATGTTATAGGAACAGTTTAACGAACCCAGTCTCAAGGCTATGAGAACACTGGTTATCAGGGCTTTTCTAAGGCTATGGGAACACTGCTCCCCTTAGTTACCCAGACACCTGAGTGAGGAAGCCAGACTGCCTCCACTTATCCTACAATCAGGAAGATTTTTAGAGAAGCCAGTCTTCAATAGCACTGTAGTATCTTACTTCTCTGCCCTGGAATTGGCCAGCAGGCTAAGAGGAGGGCATACAGGAGCAGCAGCTCTCACGGTTTTTGGTCTTAGGACTCCTTTACACTTTACAAGCCATATTGAAAACCTTAAAGAGCTTTTATTTATGGGGATTTTATTTACCATATTGAGAAATGTCTGTTGATTCACTAAAAAGGTATGCCAATTAAATGTTTATATAAACAATGTTTTTATTAATAAAAGTATATTTGCACAAAAATTTCTCAAAAAGTGTAGTTCATATTGTCTTACATGTGAATCTCTACTGTTAGAGCTTAATTGAAGACAGCTGGATTCTCATAACTGCTTCTGCATTGGATCTATTGTGAAATGGAGTTGACTGATACAAGTGTAAGAAGGAAATCTGGCCTTACAGATACTTAGTTCAGAAAGGGAGAAGTATTTTAATAGCCTCTTAGATAATTAAGGATATCCTTTGATAGTACACCTAAACTTATAAGTGGTAGTTTTTAAAGGTTACTCAGATATGGAAATTGAAATCAATGAACTTTATGCTCAGTTATATTAAAACCATCAGTATATCTTGTACTTTCAATGGACATTTTACTCATGCCATGATATTATAAAATCACACATGAGTAAAACATTGGAAAACAAAGTCATTTACTGTCTCATTAGGTATGCAGGTCTTCCAAAGGCAGAGGCTCTTAAATATAGGGAAGCTGCCAAACTCACAGTGGCCAATACAAATTCTAATTTTTTAAATTAGAATTTTAGTTTTTCACCTGAAGGTTTAAATTTTATCATTGACAACAATTACTGTCTATTATTTTTCTTGAAGGTTCAGGCTCAGTCCCTTCATTTTTAGGAAAATATCAGTCAAATGTGCCAGTCTGAATAACTATAGTTTGTCTGATGTCCCTTCAAGTAAATGGTGCTTAGTTATAAACAAAACAAACAAACAAACAGAAGATGACAAAAGCAAAGCTGCTCAACATCTTATTAGGAAATTGAAAATTAAAACAACAATGAGATACCTGTTAGAATGGTTGAAATCCAAAGCACTGATAACAACAAATGCTGGTGAGAATGTGAAGCAGCAGGAACTCTCCTTCATTGCTGGTGAGAATACACAATGATACTCCCACTTTGGAAGACAGTTTCTCATAAAGTTAAACATGCTCTTACCATATGATCCAGCAATTGTGATCCTTGGCATTTACCCAAACTGGGTGAAAATTTATGTCCACACAAAACCTGCATGCAAATGTATAGCAGCGTTATTCATAACTGCACAAACTTAGAAGCGTGTAAGATGTTTTTCAATAAGTGAATGGATAAACAAACTGTGACACATCCATACAATGGAATATTGAGTGATAAAATGAAATCAACTTGTGAGGGACATAAGTGACTCCACCTTAAAGCTAATCCACCACCTTCACTCCCTCTTCCTTCCCCAAGGTGAGCTCTGAAATGCAGCTCACAGCTGACCACAGGACTCCTATTACTTCTCTCTGCAGGGTAAGGAGCCCTCAGTGTTTCTGTTACCTCGCCCTGGCACCCAAGCCTCTGAGCATCTGATCCCTTTGATTATCCACGCAGCTTTCTCACTGTTTTCAGAATCTGGGGGTGGAAGGTGCAGGGACCCATTTGCTTTGTTGCTGCCCAAAACTGCTTTTTGTATGTAAGTTCCCTATTAAACTCTCAAAACCAACAAACTGGACTTGTCTGCTTCAATTTTTGGCTTATCAGCTGCTTTGGCTTTTGGGAGCTGCTTTGCATACATGGCCCTTTCACAAAATAATGCTATCAAGCCACTAAAAGACATGGAGAAAACTTAAATGCATATCGCTAAATGAAAGAAATCAATCTGAAAAGGCTATATACTGTATGATCCAAAGTATGTGCAACCCTAGAAAGGGTAAAACTATGGAGATAGTAGAAAGATCAGTGGTTGCCAGGGATTGAGGAGAGGGAGGAAGGGATGAATAGGTGGAGCACGGGGGATTTAGAAAAATGAAAGTATTCTGTACAATAATGTATTTGTGTCATGGTACATACATGTTAGACTTTTGCCAAAACCCATAGACTGGCCCTGGCCAGTGAAATTCAGTTGGCTGGAGCTCATCCAGGAACCATAAGGTTGCAGGTTTGATTCCTGGTCAGAGCACATACCTAGGTTGCAGATTTCATCCCCAGTCCCTGTGCGTACAATCCTTGGGTCCAGGCGCATAGAGGAGGCAACCAATTAATGTTTCTCTTCTCTCTTCCTCCCTCTCTCTCTCCAAAAGCAATGAGAAAAATGTCTTCAGGTAAGGATTAAAAAAAAAAAAGGACATAGAATGTACAACACAAATAGTGAACCTGAATGTAAAGTACGGACTTTGTTAATATATCAGTGTTAGCTCATCAATTGTAATAAATGTAAGATGTTAATAGAAACTGGGAAAGTGTGACGAGTTGTCTGCATTACTCAAAAAAATAATAGTTAATATGAAAACTAAGGTTAGCTCAGCTTGTAGTTTAATTGCACAAATGCTTTTTCTTAGAACTGTCAGACAACAACCATCCATGCATATGCAGAAGTACTGTGTGCATAGTTCCCATTTCTTCACACAAAATAGTAAAAAGAGATGTACTCTAGTATCAAGGATTAATTAATAATTTGTACTGCTTCATTAAGGGTGTTCTTAATGGAAAATAGCATTTTTAAATATGTATTTTTTATTTATTTTTAGAAAGAGGGGAAGAGAGGGAGAGAAACATATGTGGAAGAGAAACATGGATTGGTTGCCTCTCGCACACACCCAACTGGGGACATGGCCCACAACCCAGGCATGTTGCCCCAACCAGGAATCCAAATGGAGACCTTTCAGTTTGCAGGCTGACACCCAACCCACTGAACCACACAGTCAGGGCAAAAAATGGCGCTTTAAAAAATTGCAAATGCACAGCAGGGAGGAATGCTATGACTACTACTACAACTTGGTGCCACTGTGTCATTCTGCTAAGTTGTCAACAGTTTTACCCACCTTTGCTTTTGTATCATCAGTGCAAATGTCCACAAAGTTAAAAAGGCAAATAACATCTCAGTATTACTATAAAAGTAGTTTTGTCTTTGAAGACTTGAGGGGTTCATGTTGAAGACCACTATCCTAAAGGAAAAGAATGCCAGGGGTAGATGTAAAAGTAGGGATTACTGAGGACAAATGTATTTGGCGGGTGGAATCACTGGGCCAACAGTGTTCCTGCTGGTGAGGATCTAGCCCACTTCTAGGCCATCCTAACATGCAAGGCAGGCCAAATCTCTGAAATCCATTGATCCATTTAGGTGATGGATCTTTCTCTCTCTTATTTAGTGAGAGAGGAAGGGAAGGAGAGAGGAAGAGAACATCAATGTGTGGTTGCCTCTCGCACACCTCCTACTGGGGACCTGGCCCACAACCCAAGCATGTGCCCTGACTGGGTATTGAACTGGTGACCCTTTGGTTCACAGGCTGGTGCTCAATCCACTGAGCTACACCAGCCAGGGCTAGGTGATGGATCTCTTAATCAGCTGTCAAACCTCAGTCCAAATGAACTCCAAGTGGGTTGGGAAGTTTGGGCTAGCTCTTCTAGGACCACTCAAAATTAGATGATTCCATTTAGTTCAGCATTTATGATCTATGTGCCAAGAACTGGACAAATTAAGTTGTGGCCTCTGTCCTACAGGAGTTTCAGGGTGAGGAAACAATAATAAAAGAATATAGAAAGTAGAAGAATGTAGAAAATTGTAGAAAAGAATATAGAAAGTAGAATGTAGAAAATTGTATTAAATACAGTTCAAAGTGCTATGGGAGTATTGACAATGAAATGAACTAAGGCTGGAAAAATCAGTAGTTTTTCAAAAAACTGAGGTGAGCTTTGAATGATGAGTACAATTTTGAGAAGAGAGAGGGAAATCAAAAGTTTCTAACAGTCTTTTGAAAAGTTCTTAATAACTCTGTCAATATGGCTCAGGTGGTTGGAGTGCCATCCCACAAACCAAGGGGTCACCTGTTTG